CAATTAAGTGAAAACACAAACCTTCGATAACATTCATACCCCAAATAGTACAAGGTGTTTTGCATTCCATCTTAATTTTTTTACATGAACCCCGATATAATTTTCATACCGAAAGCATAACTACATTTGGAATTGTATATCGTGTAAAAGACTGAAATTTTGCACCTTTTAAATCATGTAAAAGAATATCATGCAGTTTAACACATTATTAAAGCGATGCTCGTACATATTTCAACCCTCGTCATGATGGATATTTCTATCATATATGCTCAATTCATTTTGATGTTTAACTATCTTTTCTTGTATGCTCTAATTTAAGAAACATTGTCATCGGTCAATTCGGATTTTGTCTGTGAAGTAATGTATGATAAGGAAATATGATATGTGGCCTTGGATTTTCTCTTTTCTTAAATCATCGATTTGCATTTTACCACTCTTGTGGAGAAATAACAGAAACTATATTTCAAATGCAATTGCCCCAAGAATACACCTTCTGAAACACGACACAGATTTTCGCCAATTATTCGTCTACTGTCAGTTGTTTTTGTAGCTTTGTAGTTACCCGTGTTAATATATCGTTCAAGTTTACTTTTTGACGTTTCATCTCACACTGTTTGTATACATATAAAAGCCCTTATACCGATTTTATTTGAGAAATCTATTCACAAAATATAGTCTGCCCTAGTCGTGTACAATGGTTTCAACCACATGGCAACCGACCGAATCTTACAAATGCTTTGGCTGTCTTTGATGATCCAATGTGATATACAGACATCAAGTTGAACCACAGGAGAAAACATTAAAGACAGAGACGGCGAATGGAAAAACGAAAATGCACTAAACCATAAATTAAAAAAAATCAGATTATCGAATTTATTTTGAACACGCCATAAGACGAATAAAAACATTTAGGGTTTTTGACAATTTGGTGACAATAGTTTGATTCAAGTTGTTGAATTGTGTGCCGAAAGTGTGGGTTATTTGACTATGCAACAGATAGAGTGTAAAATCCGCCATCAATATTTTTACCTTTTTTAGTACTTGTTTAAAGTTGGGGTTTTTTTTGCACTACGTTATTAAACAAATACAAATAGATATATTAATATTTATGAAATGCTCTTACCTGGATCTTGATAACTATATCTTTAACGAGAAGCCTTATACCCAAATTTACGATAAAAGCGATGATTTTTCATTTTCGATTGTTAATTATTCATTTTTAGATGATGGTGACGTTCCCTTGTCATCATCTTAAAGTGTTTATATATCTCAACTTGTTTGATTCGCTCGTGTATCTAACAACGTATTTGATTTTAACGAAAGATATCTTTGTATTACTGAAACATTACAAAACCAGGGTTTTCGATATCACAAACTTGTCAAAACATTTACTAAATTTTATCATCGGTATTAATTCGTAAATATAAATCAACGTGCAGACATCTTATACGTTCAGGTATTTCACATCTCATATGTTATGGTAATATCCTATACAAAGCGCAAAAATGTCGTCATTGATCCCAAAAGCTAACCAAACCTTTAAAAAGACTTATTCAGAAGGGATGTAGACACGATACTGTTGTCAGGTGATTAAAGATTGCATTTTTTGGAATTCATATTGAATCACTCATAGGGTCTTTGCATCAGAAATAAACACATTTGTTCTAAAACCAGTTGTTCGTATGATACGGCTTATGTTTTTCTCGTATATTTTATGATGATATGATACTAAACCCCTAACGGGAGAAATTGTGCTTGATTTTTGTATGATGCTGACATAATCTTTCAATCGGTTTAATTGAGGTCTGGAGCTGGCATGTCACTTATTGCTAGTAGTCCTTTGTTAATTTATGTTTATCATTGCCATTTTGATTAGTTTCTTCTGTTACCTTTTCTAACATCGGACTCGGACTTCTTTTAAACTGTGTTTTACTGTGCGTCTTGCAATGTGTTTGTTTATTCTACATTTGCTAGAGGTATAGGGGAGGGTTGAGACCTCAAAAACATGTTTAACTCCGCCGCATTTTTGCGCCTGTCTCATGACAGGAACCTCTGGCATTTTTTAGACTTGTATGTTTTTTTTTTTAATTTTGGTTCAATTATATGTTTCGGAGTTTAATGTGACGTCATTTTCGCTGAACTAGCATACATTGTTGTTAAGGGGCCAGCTAAAGCCCGCCTCCGGATGCGGGATTTTTTTACGCTGTGTTGTAGGCTCATTGGTGGCCTTTTCTGTTTTCTGCTCTTTGGTCGGGTTGTTGTCTCTTTGACACATTCACCGTTTCCATTCTCAATTTTTTTATTGACGTCTTGAAATTCGGAGTCGATGTTAACTGTTCGCTGTTTGCTACGCCTAGAAACTTTTCAATGCAATTGTATTTTGAGATAGTCCAACCAAAATCTTGTATCGGTATTGTTATTTAAAATCAGATCAGTATGTTAATCCCTTTCCAAATACGTCTTTCAATCTATTGATTTGTACTCATCTATTGCATTAGTTAAAAAACGTTTCTTTGTTGTTTTTTTTTTTTTTTTTTGCAATTTAGAATTGTCGTCACTCATCCTTAAAGATGTGTAGTGTTTAAATGATGTTATACAACGTCTTGCAATTTATTGGTAAAAACAATGCATAACTCTAAAATAAGATTAAAGATATTTAAATCTGTTTAGATAAACGTACCTTCATACTGTACATTTGTTGACCTCGTCTGCAATACCTTTCCTTCAATATCGGGTATACCATTACTGACAACACACTCATATCTACCATTCATCTGATACGGAAAAGGATCCTTCTGGATAGTGAATGTTTCATTCGTCAAATTTACAGAACGGACGAGTTCCCCATTTTTTGATATGTGATCTAACCGGTACACACTATAAATGTCCGGCACTCCATCACATTCACATTCAATTGTCTCATTGGTGTAATGAACTGTAACTGCAGGAGAATCTGCAATTCAGTGTTGGATTGTTTTGGGTTTTTCATATTCTTACATAAAACATACATTTCAACAAAACCTGCATTACAGACTAATTCAATGATATTATAATATAAGTGAAATAGATGTTATTCTGCTCTTCAGTTGAATTGTCTGTTTCTGTTGTAACATACACTATCATGCTTTCAGCACACACACTTGTCTTGTCCTTTGACAAGTTTACCATCTAGTGGGATCCAGATAACATATTATTTTGCGGTTTTTAGTGTTTTAGTTAATCTATTAGCATACTTATTAAGATTTAGATTTCTTTTTAAGATTCACTGAAACCGATTTGATAGTCTTATATAGTATGCTTCGTACAAAGGGCATATTACTGAATTTGATTTCCGGCTGCACTAAACGAAAGGCTTCAATGTTTGAAATTTCTAGTACTGTGACATTATGCTGCATGTAAGTGTAAAAGTTATGGTTTGTCGACTACAACACATAAAAGAGTGTCTAAGTAGGGTAATAATTTTTACTGCAGACTATGATATTGAGAACTCGCACGTTAAAAAGTCAGCTAACATGTCAGTATAATACAAATCATAATACATCCCTATCTCATTTTCTTAATGTGTATGCACTCTACTTATTTAAGAGTTTATAACTAAGAGACATGCATATATCTTTAAAATTCTATTTTAAACTCTTTTGAATTATTTTGGATTAAATTGCAATTTATTTGATTCTGTTTGTTACAGGATTTCGTATGTATTTTAACATAATCTAATGTTTTTAAAAATATTTTACAAAAACAGAGAAATAAATGTGTCTTCAAGATGAATATTATAAAGCAAAACAATGATTCTGATGTATTTCCAACGAAAAGTATACTTTAGCTTTGTAGATTAAATATAACGTGGTCATGATTGTACATACTTACACCTTATCAATACTTTGATTTCAATCATTATTGACGAGTGTGTACTGTCCACACATTTATATTTTGACAGATGATCTGTACGGTCTGGTATAAACAAATAGCTCACACTTTGATTATCACCAATAGCTTTGATTGTTCCAATTGATTCTAACTGTAAAGCAGTGATGAACTGTACTGTGTCAGCTGAACATTTGATCTCCAGTTCTGTTCCCTCTTGTCCAACTATATTGTTACGATCCGTTTCTTTAATGAACCATAATTCTGTATTTAGAAAAAGGGTTTTCATATAACTTATAAAAATAGTTACTGTGTATATGTTCACTTCCAATGATCTATGTTTTGCCTATCTTAACAAGAACATGTATTTTAGGTATACAACAAAACTATATAGGTTCTATTTATGTTACGTTGGGGGACAACACACAAACTACATAGTCTTGATAACATTGTTATCCTTTATATCATGAATAACTTTTAGTTGCGAAAACACGTGCAATTTAACTAAAACGTCTAACTATACCAGGAGCAACGATGAGCTTAATTATGACAACACAAATCTGGTTTATGGATTACAATGAAATCTTTTCGGATTGGTATATGTCGGTGAAATCAAAAGTGCCTATAAAACGTATGTGTAAAAAACACAAGGTCCTCTTTACAAAGAGTTTTGTGCATGGAGTTTAATTTATTAGATTTCGGTTTACCCAAGTTTAACTGTATATTTTGAGTGTCAAAATGGGATACATGTATGTATTACTGAACAAATGCCTGTACCAAGTCATGAATATTGCATTTGTTTTTCACTTGTTCAGGTGATTGATTTTGTCAGTTTTTTATGGAATCTGTCTTGGAGTTCGGTATGTTTCTTCGGTTTTTTTTTGTTAAACAGTCTTGTTGAATATCAAGCTGCTGGAGACGACGACAACAGATCTAAAAAAGTTATTTGATAGAAATCTAAAGTCATGTTAAAACTTTCTAGTATATCAAACATATATATGAAATTGTTGATTTTTCATTAAAACTATAACATATTTCCACAAATTATTTTACTACAGTCATCGAAATATAATGAGAATTTAATCGATTGCTACATTATAGTCCGAAATACCATTTGATAGATAACTACTTACTGACTACTACCAGCTGTACCCGACCGAAATCATACATATAACATCTATAATAGCCTTCATCTTTAAGGGTAACATTGTAAATGTGAAGGTCTACATGTATTGTATAATTTTTGAGTCTTCGAGACTTCTTTCCAAAAAAAGGTCCATCTTTAATAGTGCTATAATAAAGAGGTCCTTCGAATATAAATGTTAGTATTGATGATGATCCCTCAATAGCACATACATGTTCAATTGCATGTGGAGGACAGGACATATCTACAATTACAAATAAGAATATACAAGTGTATGCACCTTATATATTTGGGTGCCGAACACACAGCTTTTCTATTCTCATATCATTCGGCCAAATAAAACTTGGAGATAAACACAAGCCGTGGAATATAAAGTCTTTGTCAACTGTATTACTATTTTGGTTTAATTGTATATCATATATTGAACATACTATTTGGAGTAACTTTGTCACATACTTTATTTCTTTATTATTCCATATGATCATGTAACATCGACGTTAAAATGCAATATGTGATGCATCTAACGTTGAGAAATATATCAATTGTGAATTAACACGTTTAACAATTTAGTTTTGTGGTGTGTGTGTTTACTGGAATCAATGATAATTCCACTGAATGCTATATATACATTACAATATTTTGGACACATTTTCGCAGATTACTCAGTCATCTCGTTCTACATATTTATATATGTATATATATATTGATTTATTTACTTCGTATGTATCATTTGACACTGACGATTATCAACTGACATCTTAATAAATTGAAAAAAAAATGTTTTAGAACCAATCAGATAGCACGTTTGCATAAAAACGATAAACTTACTCGTTATGTTTAGCTTTAATGCAGCTGACAGACCTTGATCGTCTAACCAGTAAATCCCCGTGTCATTTGTTGTTACATTTGTTTTCTGAATTTCTAAAATATTCGGACGTACTATCATATCGTATTTGTTGGTGATAACTTTTTTATGGTCTGTATAACAGTATATATATCTTTCGTTGAAACGGACATCTATCTCTGAGTTAATGATTTTGAATGCCAGATTTACCGTTGACCCTTCCGTTGTGTGAACTGTGATGATTGAATCGGTGAGTTTTGATTGGTCTGAAATAATTAAAAAAGAATAAAAATACTTTGGAATAAAAATTATAATTTAGCTTCATATTTTTTGTTTTTAACATTTTTTTATATATTTATTTACTGATCCTTACTTTTGTCTCCATGTTTACTATGAGTAAGGCTCTTCTAGAGTTTTATTCAGGACCAAGATAAACCTGCTTTATAAAAACATTTTCACGATGATAAGTAAGAAGTTACTGGTCAGACTGGGGTAAAAAACAAAAATATGTCTGTTGACCTCCTGTTGACCTCCTGTTTACTCTGTCTTTTTATTTAAATGGTATCTATTAAATGATATTGCTACAGTGGCACTCCAATGATCACTAATGGCTTAAATCAAAGTCAATTAAACACTTGTGGATAGTTGTCTGATTATATCAGATTGTACACCTGTTGGAATTATTACAGATTCTAAGTGCATGCTTTTTAATTTATTTGAAAAATATATCCCACAACTTCCGTGGCTAATTTTAAAAACATGAGTCGAATACAAATAAGGATAAATTTTAAAACAAAATATTTCTGGACAGTCAGTATTTTAGTTTGCACAAATATGCACATGTTTTTTACACTCGAAATTATATTACTAAATTAATGATTACTCCATTATTCGTAACTTTAATGGGAAGATTACTCAATCATTCGTCACTTTAATGGGAAATTCCCATGTATTATTATATGAACATGTTAGGATATGTTTTATATTTTTGAAGAAAAAGAGGATGAACTGCGTCTCAAAACAAAAAGGGAAAAATATCAGTTTTGTCAGGATTATATGTCGGTTACGATGTAGACGACCAATCATCCGGCTCCTTCCAGATCATCGTTGATAATATGTTCACATCTATTTACCAATAAATGAGACAAAACAAAACAACTTTCTCAGATATTGAAATACATGATGTTTCCGTCCTTTTGTTTCGATGAATTTGTTAATTGATGTATATATGTATTAATTGATTGCGTGGTTGGAAGTGTGCATTTTGTTTTGAAAACAAAGACAACAATGGACTATTTTCTTCATTCGATTAATCTACCTCAAGGTCGGGTTGCATGCTACGAGAAGTCAATGACACCACTTAATATCTCAAACTTTATAAGTCTATGAAACCATACAACCGAATCAGTATTCATCTACATCAAACTCTTATTTTCTACTTCATTTAACAAATCCGTAGCGTATATCTTGTTGAAATAATAAAACATACATATTTGAATCAGCATCTACTTAAAATTTTGCAGGGCATGATATCCTTTTTATCGCTTTGCTCTTTTTTGTTATCTATGTAGTGCATTAAAAATTTGCTTGCTATTTACATTTTTGTAAGGGGCCATATGAAACCCGCCTGCGAGTGTGGAATTTTTTGCTGTGTTGAAGACCCATTGGTGGCCTTCGGCTGTTTTCGGCTCTTTGGTCGGGTTGTTGTCTCTTTGATACATTCCCCATTTCTATTATCAATTTTAATCTATTGGTAGTCATGGCGTTTCCGGTTTCTATCGATATAGAAGTTTTGAGTGTTCTTTGGCATCACCGGCCTCATTTTTTATACCTGTATTTTTAAGCCCTTTTCAATATCCTGAATATGGTCGTACCTTGGAGAAATAACCATATAAGACAAATCTTCATGTTTATCTACAACGAAATACATTATTTATGATTAAAACTTATTAAAACTGGGTTTCAAAAACATTAGGTTCTGTCAAATCTAGAGTAATTCTTTTCTTAGGGTTACTTTAATACTTCGATTGATTTCAGCGTATATAGGATTAACAGGACAGACACCCACACCTGTTACATGTCTTAGTAAATAATATTATTGAAGGATTGTTTCAAATATCACACAGATCATGATTTGTTCACGATATTTTGTTTCACATTTCTCGTTTTTTTTAAAAGATTAGACCGTTGGTTTTCCTGTTTGAATTGGTTTACACTAGTTATTTTGGGGCCCGTTTTTATAGCTTGCTGTTCGTTGTGAGCCAACGCTTCTTGTTGAAGGCCGTACTTTGATATATGATTGCTTACCTTTTATACATTGGGACTTGGATGGAGAGTTGTCTTATTGGCATTCATACCACATCTTCTTATTTATACATATTGATGAGAGTGTTAGCATACATGTGAACAAGGTATATTTAACAAACACTACGCTTACTTTTTTACTTAGTAGTCAGAGCTTTTCGTAAAAATTAAAAAGAAACCGTACGTACATGTTTTTTTTCGAACACAGAACCAACTCTTCTTTAAAATAAAAACCATATCAAGGATAACGATATGAGCTCCAGAATATATAAACTTCATAAGCCTTGAAAACCAGGAAGCCTTACATAAAAACTAGTGTATACATACACATGGTGTTTCATCGACATGCATTTTACCCTGTTGAGTGTTCTTGTCAATTTCCTGTGAAATGCAAAATCTGCATTTATATGAGGTTCCAAAAACGCATCAAACCTTTTTGAGTTTTCAAGTGCACTCTTTGAGCAGAATAAATAAAAGAAGGAGATGTGGTATAATTACCAAATGACATTGAAACTATAGGTCACTTTATATCTTTCGGCGATTGGCAACACCCATACCGCATTGAAAGCTATGTAAAACCAGTAAAATATATTGACATGCTAAATCATAGAAATACAAACTATACGTTGAGGTATGTATAATTAGGTACAACAAATATAGAAATTATTAGGAACTATGTGAAAGGAGAAAAGATGAAAAATGGACACAAAATTAGGCTTACCATTCTCAATTTCTATCTATATGCACTGGGTTATAATTCCTTGCTGTTGTTTCGTTTCTAGCAACACAATATGTAACAATCGTTTCATGTTTCCGTTACTTTTTATTCAAATTTATAAATGTAAGTGTACATACTAAAGGAAATAATTATTAATACTCCAAAACAATAGTTAAGGATCAATTCAATTTTAAATATTTAATTTAAACATCTGTCATTTCCGAAACTAAGCCAAAAGTAAAAACTAAAGTCTTTCATGGTAAATTTTAGAGATAATATGGCATGTTTTCGACATTATATATATATAAATTATACTAGAACACACCCGCGAAATCGCGGGCATTTAGAGTGTGGTTGAAAGTATGTAAACTGTTGTAGGATGATTTTTTGTAAAAGATTTTATGACTGGAGAATTTCAAGAGAGGTATCAAAAGTTATAGGTACTTGATGAAAGGACATTTTTTTTAGCCCTCTCCCTTTTTTCCACAGTCCGTTTTTTTTGTTGTTTTCTGTTTTTCTGTATACTATGAACATATATATATACTATGAATAAGGTGTATTTGCTATTTACTATTAATTCCAAATTGTAATACTATCCTAGGCGATATAGTCATTATAGAGACTCTCTATATAATATATCAGTGACAGCCGCGGATAGTAAACTTTGAATTGATAGTAAATAGCAAATACACTTTATTTATAGTATATATATGATCATGGTATACAGAAAAACGCGAAAATAATTGTCCTGTCCCCAAGTACTATTAAAATTATGTGTAATTTATAAAACAGTCCTAAACGGAAGTCTAGTCCATGACTTAAAAGTCCGTCCGATGACGGAAACAATATTCGGACGCCTTTATTTTCGTTTTTCTCCCAGAATAACCGAAACTGAATACTCATAAGTGAAGATGACAAATGCGAATATGCATGGTACCTATAGGACACAGAGGCAAGATGATTAATTTATTGTGGAAAGAAGAGAAGCGACACACAAAATGAGGTCTTCTCATTTAAAAGTATAGATATCCCTTTGGTATATTCCGCCTCTCTTTAATAATCATGATAATATTTTGGACATGCATGTAAAATGAAAATTCTTTTTTAACATTATACCTTATATAAATAAAAATAATAACAGAAAAGAAAAAAAAGACTTAAATCTTAAAAAATCATATTATTATGTGATAATGACTAATGTTTTGTTTATCACTTCGACAAGGATGCTGGTAAGAACAACTATCAATACAAATTAATGAAGGCAGAATATTTCATATTTTTGATTAACTTTTTACTTTCTTGAATTTAGATATAAAGTCGATATTTTGAATTTTTAGATCAAGTTTATGCCATTAACGTACAAATGTACCGT